AATTAGATATAATACTGTAAAAAAATTTTTTTACAATCAAATTTTTGTAGTTTTTAAGACTATAAATATTTTGAACTTAAGCAATACCGGTACGTAATACACAGGTTTATATTAAATTTTAACTTTTTACCTAAAAATGACTAGGGATTTGCATTTAAAGAATCATTGGGAACTGGATTTAGAGTTTCTTGATGAAATTATAATATAAACTTATACCCTAACCTAAAATTCAAGAAATCCTTAAATTCCGTTTGTAATTTTAGGACTTGTGAGTTGCAACTAGAGAAAATGCACTTGAGAGATCGACTGTAACTACGTATAAGGGGCGTGTCAGATATTATCTAAGATCAATTTACTATAGAGCTCCCCTACCTGAAAAATTTAGTCATTATGATTGGTTATATATACATTTATACCTGAGATTTGTCTACTTTCTTCACCCTACGATATCAGCTGATATCTGACACTTCCCTTATCAATTGCTGTATTCTCAATAATTATAAGATTGTATTCTAAATGCATACAACTATATTTTTAATTTAACTGTTAAAATTATTTTTATTATTTATCAGACTTGCAAGTACCATTTATACAATGACCGGACGTGCTAATAATCAGGATTCAGTTCAAACTTTTGATTCTGACGATGAAAATAACATACTAATTACTGAAGTAGTGGTGCCCAAAAATCACGCCAACGCTCTGAAAATAATAACAAAAGGAGTATCTGTTGGAGGTATTTTTATCCATTTAAAGTCCCAAAACCAATAAATAAATGCTAATCTAACATTTGCAGTATGAATGTTGCCAATTAAAATATCGGGTTTAAAGTGTAATTTTTTTATATTTATTAACTATTGAACTTGTTTTATAGTAATAAGAGTTTTTTATACTCATAAACTTAAATAAAATTAATTCTTTGACCAATATCATATATCAATTATTTTCTTTAAATCTAAAATATATATTTTATATTAATAATAATTATAATTGTACAATTAAATAAAAAATAAATTTTAGATTAATATCTATAACTCCTTTAGAATATATCAAGTGACTTGTTAAATATTAAAATTTATTGTGAGAAGCGTAAGATCCTTGTTTATGTACTTATAGATAATAA